CAGTCTCTAAATGCACGGAAGCTGTCATAGCCAACAGACTATGGACACTGAGTTATGCATCAAATTCACCTTAGATTTGTTACACTTGCAGCAATATAGTAGAAAATGGTTCGTAAAAAGTTCAATTTGAAACTCTGAAGCTGAATTTTGTGCTATTGAGGCCATCTGTGTTTACTGTAGGCAACACTTGTCAGTAGTAAATTGACATTATTGTGTTGGCAAATGTGTATCACCCCCCAAAAAATTGTTTGGGGTTTTTAGTGATTACTATTAACATTGACTATGATATCATGATGACTTTGGGCAGTCATGTCATTCCATGGACTGGTGTGTCTCAGGTAGGAGGGGGTCATCACATTCCATGGACTGGTGTGTCTCAGGTAGGAGGGGGTCATCACATTCCATGGACTGGTGTGTCTCAGGTAGGAGGGGTCATCACATTCCATGGACTGGTGTGTCTCAGGTAGGAGGGGGTCATCACATTCCATGGACTGGTGTGTCTCAGGTAGGAGGGGGTCATGTCATTCCATGGACTGGTGTGTCTCAGGTAGGAGGGGGTCATGTCATTCCATGGACTGGTGTGTCTCAGGTGGGAGGGAGTCATCACATTCCATGGACTGGTGTGTCTCAGGTAGGACATCACATTCTATGGACTGGTGTGTCTCAGGAAGGAGGGGGTCATCACATTCCATGGACTGGTGTGTCTCAGGTAGGAGGGGGTCATCACATTCCATGGACTGGTGTGTCTCAGGTAGGAGGGGGTCATCACATTCCATGGACTGGTGTGTCTCAGGTAGGAGGGGGTCATCACATTCCATGGACTGGTGTGTCTCAGGTAGGAGGGGGTCATGTCATTCCATGGACTGGTGTGTCTCAGGTAGGAGGGGGTCATGTCATTCGATGGACTGGTGTGTCTCAGGTGGGAGGGAGTCATGTCATTCCATGGACTGGTGTGTCTCAGGTAGGAGGGGGTCATCACATTCCATGGACTGGTGTGTCTCAGGTAGGACATCACATTCTATGGACTGGTGTGTCTCAGGAAGGAGGGGGTCATCACATTCCATGGACTGGTGTGTCTCAGGTGGGAGGGGGTCATCACATTCCATGGACTGGTGTGTCTCAGGTAGGAGGGGGTCATCACATTCCATGGGCTGGTGTGTCTCAGGTAGGAGGGGGTCATGTCATTCCATGGACTGGTGTGTCTCAGGTAGGAGGGAGTCATCACATTCCATGGACTGGTGTGTCTCAGGTATGAGGGGGTCATCACATTCCATGGACTGGTGTGTCTCAGGTAGGAGGGGGTCATGTCATTCCATGGACTGGTGTGTCTCAGGTAGGAGTGGGTCACGTCATTCCATGGACTGGTGTGTCTCACGTAGGAGGGGGTCATGTCATTCCATGGACTGGTGTGTCTCAGGTAGGAGGGGGGTTATGTCATTCCATGGACTGGTGTGTCTCAGGTAGGAGGGGGTCATCACATTCTATGGACTGGTTTGTCTTTGGTAGGAGGGGGTCATATTTGTCTGCTCACTTTCACATTTTCTCACTGACATTGACTTTAGATGTTATTCAGTTATTCACTAATGTCAGATCGGTCTAAATAATTTTTAACACAGCCTTCTTCTCTGTGCCAAAACTAACCAAATATACGTCTTATGAATCCTGTCCTCATGATATTTATTGTTGTGTCGTGCACAAAGTTCATCATTACATCAATCAAGTAAGTATATTTAAATAACCTATTTTTGTTTATCTTAAATTGACTTACTATTGTTTAGTTTTACTAGCAGCAAGCTGTTACTCAGCTACCACATAGAACATTTACCAGATGAGTGAAGTGTGGGTCATTTATGCTGAAGGGGTCATTGTTGGCACAGATACTACAGAAATGTACCCATGTACCCTAGGTACATTTCTGTATACAGACATGTACCCTTAACAAAGTCAAACTACGGAAACGGACCCAGTACCCTAAACGACGAACGAGTCCATAATTCCATTACCAAATACCGAAACTGTATGTAGTTATTCCCGTTAAGCTGACTGCGAGTGGTGTAGGTTGTGCACCATGAATTATATTCGTTACTGTGTATGCTCATATATAACACAATCAAATGCATCTAAAACAACAGAATGACAGTTTCGATCAAGAAAACGGCGCAATGCAGAATGGAATCGTCCTTCGGTACATTTCTGTATTCTGATTTTGTTTAGGGTACATGTCTGTATACAGAAACCCTTATCTCCAGTCTCTTGTCTCCAACAACATAGTAAAGTGTGAGTTACAACCCTTATCTCCAGTCTCTTGTCCCCAACAACATAGTAAAGTGTGAGTTACAACCCTTATCTCCAGTCTCTTGTCCCCAACAACATAGTAAAGTGTGAGTAACAACCCTTATCTCCAGTCTCTTGTCCCCAACAACATGGTAAAGTGTGAGTTACAACCCTTATCTCCAGTCTCTTGTCCCCAACAACATGGTAAAGTGTGAGTTACAACCCTTAGTCTCTTGTCTCCAGTCTCTCTTGTCCCCAACAACATAGTAAAGTGTGAGTTACAACCCTTATCTCCAGTCTCTTGTCCCCAACAACATAGTAAAGTGTGAGTTACAACCCTTATCTCCAGTCTCTTGTCCCCAACAACATGGTAAAGTGTGAGTTACAACCCTTATCTCCAGTCTCTTGTCCCCAACAACATAGTAAAGTGTGAGTTACAACCCTTATCTCCAGTCTCTTGTCCCCAACAACATGGTAAAGTGTGAGTTACAACCCTTATCTCCAGTCTCTTGTCCCCAACAACATAGTAAAGTGTGAGTTACAACCCTTATCTCCAGTCTCCAGTCTCTCTTGTCCCCAACAACATAGTAAAGTGTGAGTTACAACCCTTATCTCCAGTCTCTTGTCCCCAACAACATAGTCTCTTGTAAAGTGTGAGTTACAACCCTTATCTCCAGTCTCTTGTCCCCAACAACATGGTAAAGTGTGAGTTACAACCCTTATCTCCAGTCTCTTGTCCCCAACAACATAGTAAAGTGTGAGTTACAACCCTTATCTCCAGTCTCTTGTCCCCAACAACATAGTAAAGTGTGAGTTACAACCCTTATCTCCAGTCTCTTGTCCCCAACAACATAGTAAAGTGTGAGTTACAACCCTTATCTCCAGTCTCTTGTCCTACAACAACATAGTAAAGTGTGAGTTACAACCCTTATCTCCAGTCTCTTGTCCCCAACAACATAGTAAAGTGTGAGTTACAACCCTTATCTCCAGTCTCTTGTCCCCAACAACATAGTAAAGTGTGAGTTACAACCCTTATCTCCAGTCTCTTGTCCCCAACAACATAGTAAAGTGTGAGTTACAACCCTTATCTCCAGTCTCTTGTCCCCAACAACATAGTAAAGTGTGAGTTACAACCCTTATCTCCAGTCTCTTGTCCCCAACAACATGGTAAAGTGTGAGTTACAACCCTTATCTCCAGTCTCTTGTCCCCAACAACATAGTAAAGTGTGAGTTACAACCCTTATCTCCAGTCTCTTGTCCCAACAACATGGTAAAGTGTGAGTTACAACCCTTATCTCCAGTCTCTTGTCCTGAACAACATAGTAAAGTGTGAGTTACAACCCTTATCTCCAGTCTCTTGTCCCCAACAACATAGTAAAGTGTGAGTTACAACCCTTATCTCCAGTCTCTTGTCCCCAACAACATAGTAAAGTGTGAGTTACAACCCTTTTCTCTAGTCTCTTGTCCCCAACAACATGGTAAAGTGTGAGTTACAACCCTTATCTCCAGTCTCTTGTCCCCAACAACATGGTAAAGTGTGAGTTACAACCCTTATCTCCAGTCTTTTGTCCCCAACAACATGGTAAAGTGTGAGTTACAACCCTTATCTCCAGTCTCTTGTCCCCAACAACATAGTAAAGTGTGAGTTACAACCCCGTATCTCCAGTCTCTTGTCCCCAACAACATGGTAAAGTGTGAGTTACAACCCTTATCTCCAGTCTCTTGTCCCCAACAACATGGTAAAGTGTGAGTTACAACCCTTATCTCCAGTCTCTTGTCCCCAACAACATGGTAAAGTGTGAGTTACAACCCTTATCTCCAGTCTCTTGTCCCCAACAACATGGTAAAGTGTGAGTTACAACCCTTATCTCCAGTCTCTTGTCCCCAACAACATGGTAAAGTGTGAGTTACAACCCTTATCTCCAGTCTCTTGTCCCCAACAACATGGTAAAGTGTGAGTTACAACCCGTATCTCCAGTCTCTTGTCCCCAACAACATAGTAAAGTGTGAGTTACAACCCTTATCTCTAGTCTCTTGTCCCCAACAACATGGTAAAGTGTGAGTTACAACCCTTATCTCCAGTCTCTTGTCCCCAACAACATGGTAAAGTGTGAGTTACAACCCTTATCTCCAGTCTCTTGTCCCCAACAACATGGTAAAGTGTGAGTTACAACCCTTATCTCAAGTTTCTTGTCCCCAACAACATGGTAAAGTGTGAGTTACAACCCTTATCTCCAGTCTTTGTCCCCAACAACATAGTAAAGTGTTCCCTTGTACCAGGTAGATTCACATGTTAGCCCTTACCTTTTCCTTTGTACCAGGTAGATTCACATGTTAGCTATCTCCTGTTCCTTTGTGCCAGGTGGATTCACATGTTAGCTCTCACCTATTCCTTTGTACCAGGTAGATTCACATGTTAGCTATCACTTGTTCCTTTGTACCAGGTAGATTCACATGTTAGCTCTCACCTGTTCCTTTGTACCAGGTAGATTCACATGTTATCTATCACCTGTTCCTTTGTACCAGGTAGATTCACATGTTAGCTATCACCTGTTCCTTTGTACCAGGTAGATTCACATATTAGCTATCTCCTGTTCCTTTGTACCAGGTAGATTCACATGTTAGCTATCACCTGTTCCCTTGTACCAGGTGGATTCACATATTAGCTATCACCTGTTCAATAATTCCCTAATGATTTGAAATGTTTTCCTTCTCTGTTCACCTAGCTTGGGGAAGAAGTCAATCAAGATATCTCAGTTATCCTGAAGAAGATGGACTGTGACCGAGAACTAGACAGCTCTGGCCCCCCACCACCAACCATGGGCACAACCTTGTTTGAGCTCTACCTTGCCTTGCAGGAGTTTGCCAGATACTCGAACAACTTGCAACATGGGTAATATGTCATGTAGAATACAGTGGTAGTCCTGTACTGTCAGACAACTTCTCACATGGGTAATATGTCATGTGGAATACAGTGGTAGTCCTGTACTGTCAGACAACTTCTCACATGGGTAATATGTCATGTGGAATACAGTGGTAGTCCTGTTCTGTGAGACAACTTTTCACATTGGTAATATGTCATGTGGAATACAGTGGTAGTCCTGTACTGTCAGATACTCTGACAGCTTTTCACATGGGTAATATGTCATATGGAATACAGTGGTAGTCCTGTACTGTCAGATACTCTGACAGCTTCTCACATGGGTAATATGTCATGTGGAATACAGTGGTAGTCCTGTACTGTCAGATACTCTGACAACTTTTCACATGGGTAATATGTCATGTGGAATACAGTGGTAGTCCTGTACTGTCAGATACTCTGACAGCTTTTCACATGGGTAATATGTCATGTGGAATACAGTGGTAGTCCTGTACTGTCAGATACTCTGACAACTTCTCACATGGGTAATATGTCATGTGGAATACAGTGGTAGTCCTGTGTCTGTACAGATACTCTGACAGCTTTTCACATGGGTAATATGTCATGTGGAATACAGTGGTAGTCCTGTACTGTCAGACACCGACAGCTTTTTACATGGGTAATATGTCATGTGGAATACAGTGGTAGTCCTGTACTGTCAGATACTCTGACAGCTTTGACAGCTTTTTACATGGGTAATATGTCATGTGGAATACAGTGGTAGTCCTGTACTGTCAGATACTATGACAGCTTTTCACATGGGTAATATGTCATGTGGAATACAGTGGTAGTCCTGTACTGTCAGATACTCTGACAGCTTTTCACATGGGTAATATGTCATGTGGAATACAGTGGTAGTCCTGTTCTGTCAGACAACTTCTCACATGGGTAATATGTCATGTGGAATACAGTGGTAGTCCTGTACTGTCAGATACTATGGCAGCTTTTCACATGGGTAATATGTCATGTGGAATACAGTGGTAGTCCTGTACTGTCAGATGCTCTGACAGCTTTTCACATGGGTAATATGTCATGTGGAATACAGTGGTAGTCCTGTACTGTCAGACAACTTATCACATTGGGTAATATGTCATGTGGAATACAGTGGTAGTCCTGTACTGTCAGACACCGACAGCTTCTCACATGAATAATATGTCCAATTGTATGAGTGGTTGGTTAATCTCTTGTCCTTCCTCTGACAGAGAGCTGAGGAGAGGAGTCTGGCTGGTTCTCCCAGTACTATGAGTGGTTGGTTAATCTCGTGTCCTTCCTCTAACAGAGAGCTGAGGAGTCTGGCTATCTCCCAGTACTATGAGTGGTTGGTTAATCTCGTGTCCTTCCTCTAACAGAGAGCTGAGGAGTCTGGCTATCTCCCAGTACTATGAGTGGTTGGTTAATCTCGTGTCCTTCCTCTAACAGAGAGCTGAGGAGTCTGGCTATCTCCCAGTACTATGAGTGGTTGGTTAATCTCGTGTCCTTCCTCTAACAGAGAGCTGAGGAGTCTGGCTATCTCCCAGTACTATGAGTGGTTTGGCTTCGCTGTCAGCAAGTGGCTGTGCATTGCAAGACACAAGGCACTCAAGAGGATCCGTAAAGCTGTGGAACTTGATAAGGTGAGATCACCTACAATTAGAATCCAATATGATCCATCCTGATCCTTGTCTGTTATAGAACATCCTACTCTCTGGCTCTTGACAAAACATTGAGATACCAGAAAGTAGCAGCCTGGTGAATAAGCCTTTCAACACCTGTTAGTTGGATACACAACATCATACAGAAAGTGGTCACATGCAACCAAAACATCAAACATAATTAAAACACAATTATCACTTATTCATGACATATAATATACATTGCTGGTTATGAAAAAAACATATAAACAAAATTATAAGCGTACAATCGCAAATCAAAAGTGCAATATTTTGTACTTGGGTTTACTTCCCAAGAAACGAAAGCAGCCGGGATACCGAACCCAGTCAGAGCGGGTGGGTGTGCACTCAAGTGTAATGGCTGGCTCATTTGCAGATGCCCCCACGGCTCATTGTGTGTGTATATATAGAGATGTTGGGTTTTGTAAATACATGTTCATTTTTTGTGAATAACATGTTGCAATCAACAGACATCATAACATGTCATGTGTTCAAGTATCACACCTGCCTGTCTGTGTAATTACATAATGTGACAGAGACCGAACTCGGGCCAAAAAATCAATGCGTTTTGTTTATGGTGTATAGCCTGATAGGTGTTAAGTTCAAATTGGTCAGTGATCGAAGTTGTGTATTGAATATTGTCATTAGCAGACAGGCAGGCAGACACATAGGTGTCAATAAAACAGACATTGAGTTTTGTCTGTGACAACGACATATCTATATCACAGTTAGAAATTGTGTCAACGCTAAATAATGACATTGCTTTAAAGTATCGAACTGAGAAAGTGACTCGGTAAGAAGACCGTGTGGTGAAATAGACAAATGAAATTATATAAACAGTTAAATCGGTAATCTACTGTCATAACATATAAAAAGCTCGCGCCTCAACAAAACATTAGAAAAAATAGCTCACACCAAAGCCTTCACCGAGTATTCACCGGACAACCCGCTTCTAAGCAGCGTGAACCTATTTCACTGCGCATGTGCTATGAGCAGCAGTACTCTGGTGCGATGTATCTTGTTGTGACAAGATCAAATGTGTTTTGTTGCAGTGCAATAGATATTGTGTTTTACTGTGGTGCGATGTATCTTGTTGTGACAAGATCGAATGTGTTTTGTTGTGGTACAATAGATATTGTGTTTTACTGTGGTGCGATGTATCTTGTTGTGACAAGATCGAATGTGTTTTGTTGTGGTGCAATATATATTGTTGTGTTTTACTCTGGTGCAATGTATCTTGTTGTGACAAGATCAAATGTGTTTTGTTGTGGTACAATAGATATTGTGTGTTTTACTCTGGTGCAATGTAGCTTGTTGTGACAAGATCAAATGTGTTTTGTTGTGGTACAATTGTTTTATATTGTATCTTACTGTGACAAGATCGATGTATCTTGTTTGTGACAAGATCCGAATGTGTTTTGTTGTGGTGCAATGTATATTGTGACAAGATCAAATGTGTTTTGTTGTGGTGCAATAGATATTGTTGTGTTTTACTGTGGTGCGATGTATCTTCTTGTGACAAGATCGAATGTGTTTTGTTGTGGTGCAATAGATATTGTTGTGTTTTACTGTGGTGCAATGTATCTTGTTGTGACAAAATAAAATGAGTTTTGTTGTGGTACAATAGATATTGTTGTGTTTTACTGTGGTGCGATGTAGCTTCTTGTGACAAGATCAAATGTGTTTTGTTGTGGTACAATAGATATTGTTTTACTGTGGTGCGATGTATCTTCTTGTGACAAGATCAAATGTGTTTTGTTGTGGTACAATAGATATTGTTGTGTTTTACTGTGGTGCGATGTATCTTCTTGTGACAAGATCAAATGTGTTTTGTTGTGGTGCAATATATATTGTTGTGTTTTACTGTGGTGCAATGTATCTTGTTGTAATTCCATGCTCTTGATGTATTGTGAGATAGTGGTATGTGTTTGCTGAGTTATATAGTCTTTAAAAGCATCTAGAAATATCCAGCTTATGCTGGATAAGTTAATGCAGTGTGCGAGATGATTGTAGATTACTCTTGATTCCAAAGCATCTGAATCACTAGCACACTGCTGCCCACTCTGTAGAATCTTAACTTACACTGCCTTTTAACAATGGAGTGTTCTGCCCGCAGGTAGCCCAGGTGGATGCCGTTGTCAAGTACAGCACGTCAGCAGTGGATGTATGCTGCTGCTTTGCCCAGGTGAGCTACCGGGGGCAACATGGGAGAACTACTAGGCGTCCAGTTGTTATATGTTCAGACCACTACATCTCCAGTTGTCATATGTTCAGACCACTAGACCTCCAGTTGTCATATGTTCTGACCAGAACATCTCCAGTTGTCATGTGTTCAGACCACTACATCTCCAGTTGTCATATGTTCAGACCACTAGACCTCCAGTTGTCATATGTTCTGACCAGAACATCTCCAGTTGTCATATGTTCAGATAACAACATATCCAGTTGTCATATGTTCAGACCACAACACCTCCAGTTGTCATATGTTCAGATCACAACATCTCCAGTTGTCATATGTTCAGACCACTAGACCTCCAGTTGTCATATGTTCTGACCAGAACATCTCCAGTTGTCATATGTTCAGACCACTTCATTTCCATTTCCCATGTGTTCAGACCACTAGACCTCCAGTTGTTATATGTTCAGACCACTACATCTCCAGTTGACATATGTTCAGACCACTTCATTTCCAGTTGCCATGTGTTCAGACGACTAGACCTCCAGTTGCCATATGTTCTGACCAGAACATCTTCAGTTGTCATATGTTCAGATCACTTCATTTCCATTTGCCATGTGTTCAGACCACTAAACCTCCAGTTGTCATATGTTCTGACCAGAACATCTCCAGTTGTCGTGTTTTCAGAACACTTCATTTCCATTTGTCATATGTTCAGATCACAACATCTCCAGTTGCTATATGTTATGATCACAACACCTCCAGTTGTCATCTGTTCAGACTACCAGACCTCCAGTTGTCATATGTTCACACCACAACATAAGCACATGCAGTCTGACACATAAGTGTTGATGTTTCCATATTTTCAGATCACCGAGTTCTGGAAGCAGTTGTCCTGGCCAGATCTGGTGGGAGCCTACCAGTTTGTACACCGACTAGTCGAGGTAGCAGACTCTCACCCTCCTCGTCTACCTCTTTCTACTCCCATAGAGGATGTTATATGAGTGCTATGTCATACTATGTCTACCTCTCTCTACTCCCATAGAGGATATTATATGAGTGCCCATGTCATACTATGTCTACCTCTCTCTACTCCCATAGAGGATATTATATGAGTGCCCATGTCATACTATGTCTTCCTCTCTGTACTCCCATACAGGATATTATATGAGTGCCCATGTCATACTATGTCTGCCTCTCTCTACTCCCATAGAGGATATTATATGAGTGCCCATGTCATACTATGTCTGCCTCTCTCTACTCCCATAGAGGATGTTATATGAGTGCCCATGTCATACTATGTCTACCTCTCTCTACTCCCATAGAGGATATTAGGATGCCCATGTCATACTATGTCCTACCCTCTCTCTACTCCCATAGAGGATGTTATATGAGTGCTCCCATGTCATACTATGTCTACCTCTCTCTACTCCCATAGAGGATATTATATGAGTGCCCATGTCATACTATGTCTACCTCTCTCTACTCCCATAGAGGATGTTATATGAGTGCTATGTCATACTATGTCTACCTCTCTCTACTCCCATAGAGGATGTTATATGAGTGCCTATGTCATACTATGTCTACCTCTCTCTACTCCCATAGAGGAAATTATATGAGTGCCCATGTCATACTATGTCTGCCTCTCTCTACTCCCATAGAGGATATTATATGAGTGCCCATGTCATACTATGTCTACCTCTCTCTACTCCCATAGAGGATGTTATATGAGTGCTATGTCATACTATGTCTACCTCTCTCTACTCCCATAGAGGATATTATATGAGTGCCCATGTCATACTATGTCTACCTCTCTCTACTCCCATAGAGGATATTATATGAGTGCCCATGTCATACTATGTCTACCTCTCTCTACTCCCATAGAGGATGTTATATGAGTGCTATGTCATACTATGTCTACCTCTCTCTACTCCCATAGAGGATATTATATGAGTGCCCATGTCATACTATGTCTACTCTCTCTACTCCCATAGAGGATATTATATGAGTGCCCATGTCATACTATGTCTACCTCTCTCTACTCCCATAGAGGATATTATATGAGTGCCCATGTCATACTATGTCTACTTCTCTCTACTCCCATAGAGGATATTATATGAGTGCTATGTCATACTATGTCTACCTCTCTCTACTCCCATAGAGGATATTATATGAGTGCCCATGTCATACTATGTCTACCTCTCTCTACTCCCATAGAGGATATTATATGAGTGCCCATGTCATACTATGTCTACTCTCTCTCCTCCCATAGAGGATATTATATGAGTGCCCATGTCATACTATGTCTACCTCTCTCTACTCCCATAGAGGATATTATATGAGTGCCCATGTCATACTATGTCTACCTCTCTCTACTCCCATAGAGGATATTATATGAGTGACCATGTCATACTATGTCTACCTCTCTCTGCTCCCATAGAGAATATTATATGAGTGCCCATTTCATACTATGTCTGCCTCTCTGTACTCCCATAGAGGATATTATATGAGTGACCATGTCATACTATGTCTACCTCTCTCTACTCCCATAGAGGATGTTATATGAGTGCCCATGTCATACTATGTCTACCTCTCTCTACTCCCATAGAGGATGTTATATGAGTGCTGTCATACTATGTGTCCACCTCTCTCTAATCCCATAGAGGATATTATATGAGTGCCCATGTCATACTATGTCCCTACCTCTCTCTACTCCCATAGAGGATATTATATGAGTGACCTCCTCATACTATGCCTACCTCTCTCTACTCCCATACAGGATATTATATGAGTGCCCATGTCATACTATGTCTACCTCTCTACTCCCATAGAGGATATTACATGAGTGCCCATGTCATACTATGTCTACCTCTCTACTCCCATACAGGATATTATATGAGTGCCCATGTCATACTATGTCTACTTCTCTCTACTCCCATAGAGGATCTTATACCATGAGTGCCCATGTCATACTATGTCTACTTCTCCTCTTTTTATACTGTATATTTTGTACACATTTGTTTTATCTCCTTTGTCTGTGTATCTAACATTTTAATATGCTCTGTGCCTGTACTGTATCTCTGCTTCCTAACTCTGTACTTTTTCCTCTGTAATGTACTGAAATCTCCTCTGTCCTGTCCTGTATCTCCTCTGTCCTGGATGTATCCCTCTCTATCTGGGCCTCCTCTCTACTCCCTACCTCTATACTGTGCTGCTCCAACTGTGCTGTGTATGCTTTTCTGTACTGTATCTCCTCTGTCCTGAACTGTATCTCCTCTGTCCTGTACTGTATCTCCTCTGTCCTGTACTGTATCTCCTCTGCTGTGTACTGTATCTCTCCACTGTCATGTCCTCTGTATCTGTATCTCCTCCTCTGTATCTGTACTGTATCTCCTCTGCCCTGTACTGTATCTCCTCTGTCTGTAGTGCTGTATCTCCTCTGTCCTGTACTGTATCTCCTCTGCTCTGTACTGTATCTCCTCTGCTCTGTACTGTATCTCCTCTGTAATCCTTATCTGTGTCCACTGTCCTCCTGTACTGTATCTCAGTGTATCTCCTTTGTCCTGTACCTCTGCTATCATGTAATTGTATCTCATGTCCTTGTACTGTGTCTCCTCTGTCTCATACTTTCTATTCCCACTCGTCCTGTACTGTATCTCCACTGTCCTGTAATCACTGTATCTCCTCTGTCCCAGTACTGTATCCCTCTGTCTCTGTATTCCCTCTTGTCCCCTGAACTGTATCACCACCTGTTCCTGTACTCTGTATTCCCTTCTGTCCTGTAATTGTATCCCTCTGTCTCACTGTATCTCCCTCTGTCCAACTGTATCTCCTCTGTCCTGTACTCTCAGTTCCCACTGCCCTGTGTACATGTGCATCTCTGTCTGTCCTATTCCTCATGCTCTGTCCTGTACTGTATCTCCCTCTGTCCTGTGCTGTATCTCCTCCTGTCCTGAACTGTATCTCCCTTGTGTGTCTCATTCCTGTTGTGTGTCATTGTCTGTCTGTGTGTCCTGTGTGTCTCCCCACTGTCCTGATGATGTATCTCCTCACTGTGTGTACTCCTCTTCCTCTGTGTGTCCTGTATGTCTGTGTCTGTCTGTGTGTGTGTATCTCCTGTGTGTCTGTCTGTCCTGTGTCTCGTGTCCTGTGTGTCTGTGTCCATTGTGTCTCTCCTGTACTGTTCTCCACTGTGTGTGTGTGTGTGTCTCTGTGTGTGTCTCCTTGTCCTATGTGTGTGTCTCCATGTCCTGTGTGTGTCTCTGTTGTCTGTATGTTCTCCTAACTGTCTCTTGTCTGGTGTGTCTCCTTGTCTGTATCCTTGTGTCTTGTGTCCTCCTGTGCTGTGTGTGTCTGTGTCTCGTTGTCTGTGTTGTGTCTCCGTGTCTGTATCTCCTCTGTCTGTCTGTATGTGTGTCCTTGTGTCTGTGTCTCCTCTGTCTGTTCTTGTGTGTTTCCTCATGTCTCTGTGTCTGTGTCTCCTTGTCCTGTGTGTACATCTGTGTGTCTCCACTGTCCTGTGTCCTGTCTGTGTGTCCTTGTCCTTGTGTGTCTGTGTGTGTCTCTTGTGTGTGTGTGTCTTCTGTGTGTGTCTGTCTGTGTCTCTTGTGTGTGTGTGTGTGTGTGTGGTGTCTGTGTGTGTCTGTGTGTGCTGTGTTGTCTTCTGTTCCTGTGTATGTCCTGTGTCCTGAACTGTGTCTCCATGGTCACTTTCTGTTGTGTCCCCTCTGTCCACTGTCCCTTCCACTGTCCTAGGCTACTGTGTCCTTCTGTCCTGTGCTGTATCTCTCTGTTATGTCCTGTCCACTTGTATCCTCTGTCTTCTCCATTATCCTCATCTCCACCATCCATATTTCCTTATCTCCTCTGTCCTATATTCCACTGTCCACTATATCTATCATTATCTGTCCTTATCCTGCATTCCTTCTCCATATGTCCTGTCCATGTATCTCCACTCCTCCTCTGTGTCCATATACTACCACTGTCCTGTCTCTGTCCCTATATCTACCTGTACCCTGTCCTGTCTATACTATGTCTTATCTCACTCTGTACTGCATAATTTCATATCTCTATTCTATATCTCCTTCTCTCCTCTACTTCATATGTCCTGTACTTATCTCCATATGTCCTGTACTGTATTCCATCCATTTTTCCTATCCTATACTTTATACTCCTCCATGCTTCTGTACTATATTTCTTATCCACTGTCCTGTTATCTTTTGTCATCTCCTCCTCTGTCCTGTTACTACTATTCTCCTCTCCTGTCCTGAACCTCCCTCTGTCCATGTATCCTCTGTATCTGTGCCATGTCCACTCCTATGTCCATCTGTCCTGTATATTTCTTTTGGACAATCCAAGCAGTAGAACTCAGATTGCATGTACTAAGCCTCATGTCACAACAGATGTTATGTGACAGTGCAGGTAACACTGGACATGACTGAAGCCATAAGCTTCTTTTAATGAGGCCACACTTTCTGCATTTTCAGAGGGAATCAGTGGACAACTGTGACTGAGAGTCTGATGTTGTCTCACTAGTATATATTTAGACCTCAGAAGTAACTAATGATGTGTGGAAGTGCCAAGGGCCGCTCAACAAGAAGCATTTGCGATATAAAAATGTAAACACATGTGGACACCAAAATCCACAAGGCCATCCAAACTATCGCTGTTGAGAAAAAAACTAAACCTAACAGATCTGACTGACATATTCCAAGACTGCATAAACATCTGCATTCAGTACTATATTTGATCTGATTTTTTGGATACTCAAATCACTTTGTCTTCGCAAGCACACTACAGTTTTGAAGTGTCCAATTTCTCATTCAGAATATTATATTTCAGCCCAAATAGGTCATTTCCTTTACAGAGGTCTTATATGGCATAACGGTCACAGTAGAATGTTCACACTGATCCATTGTTTAATGCCATTCACTTTGAACTCAGGAGGGGCATGCTTGCATATTATCATTGTGCTCTGTATTGCAGCTGTGCATCACCATCAACAACATTGAGCAGGTGCGAAGGTCTCTGTGTGTGCTGCCAGAGTCATTGGAGTTCAATGCAATACAGCGCGCCCTGGAGGCTGCCAACGGAGACGGAGTGGAACCACTGGATGCTCATTCACTGAGGAAGAAGCTGTGTCAGGCCGACTCTGCCATGATCAGGAAGATCACACAAGTAGTGGATAGAGTGGCTGACAAGGTGAGCCACAGGGATTGTTCCCCTCTTGTTGTCACTGGGACATGAATCAGTGTCCTTCTGGTGCTCAGTTGACTTAGAGAGATGACTGGAAGGTTACGGAGGTTATTCTGCCATGTAGTGTAAGAGATAGACAGACAGACAGACAGACAGAAGTTTATTCGTAATATCGGCCTCATGGCCTATAATACAGTCACAAACTTTGTCAGTTTCGTGAAACGTGGTCATAATTAGTATTGGGATCTTACTTTAAAAACATAATGTAAAAATAGTGCTGTGCAGTATATAACTTGGGGGTTTTTGGATTGCAAAATTGACTGCAGAGTGAGTGGGCCTTTGTAGACATTTTGTAATTGTTTGAAGTAACTGTCTCTGTACCGCTGATATTTGACACATCGGAAGAATACGTGATTCTCAGTTTCTGTTTCCGCGGCATCACAGAATGAACACAAGTAGTTCGTACATGGGGCATCCTCATTAAGGCTGTACATGTTCACTTTAAAGTTGTTATTCGAAATACGAAACTTGATAAGTGCACGGATCAGATGTTTATATTTTAGTTCTGTTATGTAGGTCTCCAGGCAAAGTTCATGTTTAAACTGTGAATAATGACTGAAAAAAAAAATGGAGCTGTTGATTTCTGTTGTGCCAAGTTTGGTAGGCTTATATCCTTCAATCGTTGTTTGAAAGTATACATGAATAGCTGAACGTTAGCAACGCCCTGGTTTAACCAGACATGAGAAAACCCGTTTCTGAATAATAAGTTTCTAACATTGGATGCCCAGTTTGTTCTGCCCATATCATCAAATGTTTTTAGCATTCTGTAGCACTGCAGTGGATAACGTTGTTCATTCATACTGAGTATCTTGAACCAAAACTTGATTACTCGAATCTGTGTAAATACGTAGATGGGGTGACGTCCAAGCTCCCCAAGTGTGGCTTTGTTTGAAGCACATTTTCCAATTTTCAGTAATCGTTTGAAATACATAGTATGGACTCTCTCGATTACATCAGAATATTTATGTCCCCATATTTCCGAGCCGTATAGTAGTATAGGTGCCACTTTTCGATCAAATATAGTTCTTGCACTTGAATAGGTTAGTTCTTGATACTTGTTAAAAAGTCTGAAAACAGAGAGGCAGGCTTTACTTGCTTGTTAAGCAAGTGTTTCACAGGCTTTTGTCCACACGAGCCTAGATGAAAATATTATGCCGAGATATTTATAGTATGTAACCACCTTAAGAGGATTTTTACAAAAAGTCCACTTTTCAGAATGTCTCAGAATTCCTCCGTTGCGAAACACTATGATATTTGTTTTGTTAAGATTCAGCTGTAATCCCCATTTGATACAGAATGATTCCAGGATATTAAGCTGGCGCTGTAGACCTATTACACTGGTAGCAAAAAGGACGATGTCATCAGCAAACATTAGCAGTAATAGATCTGGTATATCTTGCGTAACAAAAATTCAATTGTTGCCTGATTGGTAGAGCTCTGTTGCAAATTCATTAATAAAGAGAAGGAAGAGGAGAGGGCTGAGAATACACCCTTGTCTCACTCCACGGGAAGTATCAAAAGTTTCAGTTCTTGAATCAGTATTCACTCTTACACTGGCTTTCACCGATGCGTACATACTTTTAAGCAACATAGTTATCTTTCCGTGACAGCCGCGTTGAATCAAAATATTTAGCAGTTTATCTCTGTCCACAAAGTCAAATGCCTTTTTAAAGTCAACGAAACCACAGTAGAAACGACCTTTGGGTTTGCACAAATATTTCGAACACAAAGCCTGAAGAGTAAAAATATGGTGAGTAGTTGAATATTGAGGGCGGAAACCAGCTTGACTTTCGGATAATATTTCATTTAACTCAACCTACGTCCTTAATCTTTTCTCTATAATTGAAATAAAAAGTTTTCCCATTGAATTTAGTATTGATATTCCTCTATAATTCGATGGTTCTTTCTTGGATCCAGAGATGTAACTTAGTGTGACTGGAAGGGTCAAGAGGTTATTCTGCCATGTAGTGTAAGAGATGTAACTTAGTGTGACTGGAAGGGTCTGGAGGTTATTCTGTCATGAAGTGTAAGAGATGTAACTTAGTGTGACTGGAAGGTTCTGGAGGTTATTCTGCCATGTAGTGTAAGAGATCTTACTCAGTGTGACAGGAAGGTTCTGGAGGTTATTCTGCCATGTAGTGTAAGAGATGTAACTTAGTGTGACAGAAAGGTCCTGGAGGTTATTCTGCCATGTAGTGTAAGAGATGTAACTTAGTGTGACAGAAAGGTCCTGGAGGTTATTCTGTCTTGTAGTGTAAGAGATGTAATATAGTGTGAAAGGAAGGTCCAGGGGGTTATTCTGTCTTGTAGTGTAAGAGATGTAACTTAGTGTGACAGGAAGGTCCTGGAGGTTATTCTGTCTTGTAGTGTAAGAGATGTAACTTAGTGTGACAGGAAGGTCCTGGAGGTTATTCTGCCATGTAGTGTAAGAGATGTAATATAGTGTGACAGGAAGGTCCTGGAGGTTATTCTGCCATGTAGTGTAAGAGATGTAACTTAGTGTGACAGGAAGGTCCTGGAGGTTATTCTGTCTTGTAGTGTAAGAGATGTAATATAGTGTGACAGGAAGGTCCTGGAGGTTATTCTGTCTTGTAGTGTAAGAGATGTAATATAGTGTGACAGGAAGGTCCTGGAGGTTATTCTGTCTTGTAGTGTAAGAGATGTAACTTAGTGTGACAGGAAGGTCCTGGAGGTTATTCTGTCTTGTAGTGTAAGAGATGTAACTATAGTGTGACAGGAAGGTCCTGGAGGTTATTCTGTCTTGTAGTGTAAGAGATGTAACTTAGTGTGACAGGAAGGTCCTGGAGGTTATTCTGCCTTGTAGTGTAAGAGATGTAATATAGTGTGACAGGAAGGTCCTGGAGGTTATTCTGTCATGTAGTGTAAGAGATGTAATATAGTGTGACAGGAAGGTCCAGGGGGTTATTCTGTCTTGTAGTGTAAGAGATGTAATATAGTGTGACAGGAAGGTCCTGGAGGTTATTCTGCCATGTAGTGTAAGAGATGTAACTTAGTGTGACAGGAAGGTCCTGGAGGTTATTCTGTCTTGTAGTGTAAGAGATGTAATATAGTGTGACAGGAAGGTCCAGGAGGTTATTCTGTCTTGTAGTGTAAGAGATGTAACTTAGTGTGACAGGAAGGTCCTGGAGGTTATTCTGTCTTGTAGTGTAAGAGATGTAACTTAGTGTGACAGGAAGGTCCTGGAGGTTATTCTGCCATGTAGTGTAAGAGATGTAATATAGTGTGACAGGAAGGTCCTGGAGGTTATTCTGCCATGTAGTCTAAGAGATGTAACTTAGTGTGACAGGAAGGTCCTGGAGGTTATTCTGTCTTGTAGTGTAAGAGATGTAATATAGTGTGACAGGAAGGTCCTGGAGGTTATTCTGCCATGTAGTGTAAGAGATGTAACATAGTGTGACAGGAAGGTCCAGAGGGTTATTCTGTCTTGTAGTGTAAGAGATGTAACTTAGTGTGACAGGAAGGTCCTGGAGGTTATTCTGTCTTGTAGTGTAAGAGATGTAACTTAGTGTGACAGGAAGGTCCTGGAGGTTATTCTGCCATGTAGTGTAAGAGATGTAACTCAGTGTAACAGGAAGGTCCTGGAGGTTATTCTGCCATGTAGTGTAAGAGATGTAACTCAGTGTCACAGGAAGGTCCTGGAGGTTATTCTGCCATGTAGTGTACGATATGTGTGACAGGAAGGTCCTGGAGGTTATTCTGTCATGTTGTGTAAGAGATGTAATATAGTGTAACAGGAAGCTCCAGGGGGTTATTCTGTCTTGTAGTGTAAGAGATGTAATATAGTGTGACAGGAAGGTCCAGGGGGTTATTCTGTCTTGTAGTGTAAGAGATGTAACTGAGTGTGACAGGAAGGTCCTGGAGGTTATTCTGTCTTGTAGTGTAAGAGATGTTATATAGTGTGACAGGAAGGTCCAGGGGGTTATTCTGTCTTATAGTGTAAGAGATGTAATATAGTGTGACAGGAAGGTCCTGGAGGTTATTCTGTCTTGTAGTGTAAGAGATGTAACTTAGTGTGACAGGAAGGTCCAGGGGGTTATTCTGTCTTGTAGTGTAAGAGATGTAACTTAGTGTGACAGGAAGGTCCTGGAGGTTATTCTGTCTTGTAGTGTAAGAGATGTAATATAGTGTGACAGGAAGGTCCTGGAGGTTATTCTGCCATGTAGTGTAAGAGATGTAACTTAGTGTGACAGGAAGGTCCTGGAGGTTATTCTGTCTTGTAGTGTCAGAGATGTAATATAGTGTGACAGGAAGGTCCAGGAGGTTATTCTGCCATGTAGTGTAAGAGATGTAACTTAGTGTGACAGGAAGGTCCAGGGGTTATTCTGTCTTGTAGTGTAAGAGATGTAACTTAGTGTGACAGGAAGGTCCTGGAGGTTATTCTGTCATGTAGTGTAAGAGATGTAACTTAGTGTGACAGGAAGGTCCTGGAGGTTATTCTGCCATGTAGTGTAAGAGATGTAATATAGTGTGACAGGAAGGTCGAGGGGGTTATTCTGTCTTGTAGTGTAAGAGATGTAACTTAGTGTGACAGGAAGGTCCTGGAGGTTATTCTGCCATGTAGTGTAAGAGATGTAACTCAGTGTAACAGGAAGGTCCTGGAGGTTATTCTGCCATGTAGTGTAAGAGATGTAACTCAGTGTAACAGGAAGGTCCTGGAGGTTATTCTGCCATGTAGTGTACGATATGTGTGACAGGAAGGTCCTGGAGGTTATTCTGTCATGTTGTGTAAGAGATGTAATATAGTGTGACAGGAAGGTCCAGGGGGTTATTCTGTCTTGTAGTGTAAGAGATGTAATATAGTGTGACAGGAAGGTCCAGGGGGTTATTCTGTCTTGTAGTGTAAGAGATGTAACTTATTGTGACAGGAAGGTCCTGGAGGTTATTCTGTCTTGTAGTGTAAGAGATGTAATATAGTGTGACAGGAA